TATCTATCTATCTATCTATCTATCTATCTATCTATCTATCTATCTATCTATCTATCTATCTATCTAAATATATAGATATATATATATTCTAAAATAAACTTAATACTTGTATTACTATTCCTACTTCGCAGTTTTTCACATCGCAGATGTACTGAGAATGGAATCCACCCCCCCACCCCCCATAAAAAAGAGACTACTGTACACAATTAACAAACTAACACACATATGTTGGACCTCCATTCAATAAAAAAAAATAAAGCACAACTGATGTAAATGCTAAACATTTACTACTGCTAAATAATCAGTTTTGACATCAGTTTTTTGCACTTTAAGTTGTTTCGCCAAATTGATGCAACTCTCATGCGAACTTTCATCCACTACATTATTTCATGTGTCTGTCCTTTTTTCTCTCCAGTGAAGAAGATGACTGAACTCAAATCCCGAGGTGTGAAGATGCTGCCAAGCAAAGACAACCACCATAAGTTATCAGTGTGTAAGTTACAAATCTTATACATTTGTAAAAATAAATAAATAAAATTAAAAAAAACATGAAATTGTTATATGTAATCAGAATAATGACCAAGGAGTTGTTATTGCTAACTTGTTTTTAAAATGTTATTGATCTCCAGGGAGTAACATAATATCCCACTTTTCTTTAAACTCAGATTTGACATGTGTCAGTCAAGAATGACCTTAAATAAAATGGGAATGGCCCCCGAGATCATCTGATTGTCATTTCCCCTGTATAAAGCTGAAATGCTCCATTCAAGAATGACCTTAAAGTCTATCTTATGTGTTTCTGCATATACAAACAATAACCTACCTTTACTGATCTGATCAACTGTCTGAGTCAATACATAGGGAAGAGCGATGACACCTGGAATAATAAAAAGCATTTGTCTTATCCAAGAGACTTTCATCTTTTTTTCTGCTCTCAGCTACTGTATATATATATATATATATATATATATATATATAAATAGGTTGCTTAGGTGTATAAGTCACAGGGCATGCAACTTATGCAAAAAAAATGTGACTTATATACCGAGAAATATGGTAGTAGTGTCATGAAACTTTGATTGTAAATGAAACACAGTGATCAACTAGAATTTAAATTGACTAACTAAAAGCCTTGTCATTTGTTTGTGATTTTTCTCATATGTTTATTCTAAATAAACTTTGTGATACCGTTTTAAACCAACATGTTTGATGCCAAATTTTTAATACAAAAGCAGAATCTCTAGTTAATCAACTTTGTCTGTCCAAGAAAGAAATACAAGCTCCAAGAAAACGTTCCATTCTGTCATTTTCCACTGAGGCAGTGGTCTCCTTTATTTCAGACTTGTTATTTGCTAAATGTTTGACCTCTTGTTCAAGCCAAGAGTTTCTTTTATTTATTTTTCTTCTATTACTACTTTGTGAAAGAAAAGGGTAATCGGCAAGTGTCAAAAGCAGTTAAAAACACGACAAATGCACTTCTAATAGCAGACTGACAGCAGCAATTGCATCGCTTGCTTTTACCTCAGTGCCTTTTTTTTTATACCTTAGTGATCGTGTGTCAATGTTTTCTGTCTGCCAGAAAAATCAGATTATTCGTCATCGTAAAGCCAGTTGTATTTATTAAATTATTTTTCTCACCATCAAAAGTAATAGTTATCAAATATGTACCCCCCATCATATAAAATTCCACCTAATTACTAAACTAGAAGGCAGATTTGGCAAGCAGCAAAAATGTTTGTAAATCATAATTAGCGCTGTGGAAGCATCTAGTTCTGTGGCTGCGGTCCTAAAGCTGCACTGATCTAGGAACAAAGGGCACAAGCAGCTCATTTCAATAATGATCGAAGCAGTCCACTAAGAACAGGACAAATTAGAGCAGCCCTGCCAACAGGCCGGCATGCTGATAATCAGGAGTGTTTTATTCAGTGACACACTTGCAACCTTTTATTTGTTATAAAAACAAGTAAAGATAAATCTGATCATCTTTTCACTTTTTTTATTATTTTAGTCATTTATTTTCTTATCTTTACCTCTGTGTATTTATGTATTTTACGCTGTCCTTTGCTTGTTTTGTTGTACAGTACTTTGGTTGGCCTCGTAGCTGTTTTTTGAGCGCTTAATAAATAAAGTGTATAGTGGTATCTTTTCAGATATTTGAGATGCCCTGTTTGTTTAAATCAGTCTTATGTTTTTAGCTATAAAACGTAATAACCCAGCTGTTGGTAAAATGTGCATGATAAATATAGTAATTTCTCTGTCCTTTCCTGTAAATAATCTTTTTTTTTTTTTTTATCTATGCACTCTGAAAGAAAAAACAAACAAACAAACAAACAAAAAAAACTTGAGAATAATTTGTGCAACAGAACCGAA